GAAGACAAAGGACTATTTCTTTTTAATAAATGAAAGAACTCTAATTTTAATAAAGCTAATCGAATAAAGTGTTAGTCCAATAATAATGTGGACCAATCTGTGAAATGACAATGTTATGATTAGTAAGTTTTAATAAGTAATATGACTTTAATCTAGCTGCACTAGACATCCTGATTACACGTAATGTAAACACATGACAGATTGCTTTTACTCATCCAATCGGAACCTTCCTTTCTGAAGCGTGGCATAGTCTCTGTGGTGTTTATAAATCTGTCCAACTTTGATTCGACCGTAAATCAAAACATCCAGATTAATAAAATCAGTCCCCACGTCATCTTAGATCAGTTCACCGCATTTTAAGAGAAGTATCGGACCGGCCACCCGGACTTCCTTCCGGCCACCTCAGACTTGCTTCTCTGGATATGAGAGTTCTGATGACAAGATCACTCGTACGTGCACCATTCATCTCACGTCTCATTCACACCAAGATCCATTCGTCACTTAAAGTTTAGAGTTAGTCTTGTTTAAAATTGTTTAGAAATAAATCTTCTAAAACGTTTTAAAGGTGACTCTCTTTTCTCTTGTCTCTCAGTTAATAAGAAGTGTTACATAATCCCTGCAATAAAAAGTTCCAATCTTCTGGTTAAAAGTACCCAAAGATCCATAAGAATGATTTCATATTTACTATGGAATCTCATGTCTTATGGTTCATTAAATAGATGTAAATTAAATCCTTACACTAACTACCGCCTGTTCACACAATGTATTTGTGTTAAAATTGACCCTGCAATGGCGTGTACTCAAGAAATGATGACGGGTAGGCAGATGACTCAGCCACTTCACCTGCTGTACCAGTCAGTTCAGTCCAGTGCCGCTCCGGCTTACACTAGTGAGCAGTATTTGCAGGACCTGAGGCACCATCTGCCTGCAGCGTTTTCTTTTGCACAGACAAATCTGGAGAAATTGGCTGAGGGCAGGAAGGCTTATTGTGATCAGAAGGCCTCACATTCTGAACTCAACTTAGGTGATGAGGCTTGGTTCTACATCTTTGCTCCTAATTCTGGTCACACAAAAGTCACCTTTGGTAAACTGGCTAAGAAACTTTTATCGAAGTGGTCTGGTCCATACCTGATAACTGAAAAACTCTCTCCGATCGTGTATCAGATCAAGATCACCAAAAGTAACAAAGATCCCGTCTATAAGTGGGTCCACAGGAAATAAATCAAACCACACAAGGGTTCCACTAAATTGGATGATATTAAGACCAATAAAAATGATAACCCAACTCGAATCAAACCAAAAGGGGGGTGAATTTTCCGTCCGCTCTCCCTCGGTTCTCTGATTCAAGTCACACAAGTTCTGTTGAGTGTATGTGTGTGTGTGGATAGAATTCATGTCTAAACATAACATACAGCTTTGGTTGACTTTGTTGTGGTCATGCTGTGGATTTCCATAGTTTACTAATCACTGATTCCTACTGTGGTACATTCACATATAGGTTTGATTACTAACAACACTGATTTACATTCTAGTGTTTCATCTTCTACTTTACTTTATAACCTCTTTAACAGATACATTCCAAATATACATATTTGCATTATTTTGCTTACAGCTGATTTCTTTATGAAGTATCTATTATTATCTCCTTCATTTTTAATTTTACCAGTTATGGGCTACAGATTATTTTGCCCTTCTGTTTTGATAACATTTCTGCTCAGAAGCATTAATTTTCCCTTACATATATATTAAAGGTTCTGTTAATTTTGTTCTTTTTGCAACACTTTTTCCAGTACACGTAGTTTACTGCATCCATTTCTTTCACCTGGACTCTATTCACACAATATGCTTCACATAGCACATACAGGTACACATAGTGTTAGGTTTCTTTTTGTTTGTTGTTTTACATCAGATGCAATCTATGTGTGTCTACATTCAAGTGCCCTTTCTGTGTGCTTTGCTCCTCTCCTGAGTTTCGCTAGATGTCCTCGCTTCCTGGGATATTGTCTCTGCATCATCGCCTGGTTCTGGACGTCCTATGGTTTTCCTGCGATGGTTTCCTGGATTTCCTGGATCTCTACGAATCTCTACGGATCATGGGGATCTGGCCTGTTTCCTGTCCACCGGCTTCCGACCTAAGGATTACGCTAAATGGGATTATTATTGCCTGTTTGGAGTTATTACTTCCTGCTGGGATTACCATTGACTATTGTCCAGTGTGGGGGGTTGGTTTTCCTCACTCCTGATGCTCCATGCCTGGGAACTAACCTTTCCTTAGGGCCTCTGGGATTATTCAATGACTCATGGTTTCTGCCAGGACCCTGTGTCCTTGAAAAGGGAGGATAAGTAACGTCCAGAAATGGTCTATTTTCACCTACATATTGACCTACACAATGTCTGGTCATCTACAAACCTAATTCCACTATCTGAGTGGAGTTTTGATCCTGTCTTCTAAAGCCCAGAACATTCTGCAGTCCTTGTTGACATTTCAGGGGGAACAAGATGTCAGCCTATGTTCCCAAACAAAAACTTCTTTTGATAAGACCGCAGGATTGCACACTCTCATGAATGAAGAACTTTTACAACTCATAAGTTAAATAATCATTAAATAATAATATGGTTGAATGCACAAATGTTATATGAATAATAATATTGATGTTTGAATAATCTGTGCCTAATTCAATAATGTTGAAATGAATTTTAATATTACAATGAAACATTTTGATGTTATGATCAGTAATGTTTGGTTTAACAAGTGAATCATTATCTACACTCATACACAATGTTCATTAGAGATAAATTAATTTAAAAGTAATTTCATGCACATAGATATGTTCTTACCCACAAATCAGAGAACCTTCTATCTGAAAGAAGACGTGATGTTCTGAGGTTTGTTTGTTAACACCTCTTAACATGGCACGTCCTGAATGGCCAGGCAATCATAATTTGAGAATATTAAAACAGAAACTTGTTGAGTGATTCAGTTAGTTTTTGAGAAGAACTCCAGACTGGCCACCGGGAGAAAACTCTCCAACCACCGCATCTCTTGACAAGCTGTCAAAAACCTGCTACACGCTGAAGCTGACACAGCAAATGGTTCCTTTAGAATAAAGCTGAACCAACTTCAACTCCTTAAGAGTTATTCCTAAGACGCAAACAACTGTGGTGACCTGGAGACATCTCGAGACCGGTCTGGTCGTACTGCGGTTTCTCCTACGGACTTCAGTACCTTTGGTGTCTACCCGACTGCCTGACCGGATCTACAACGTGGGACTCTGACGAAGGGTACGTAGGCTCACAGATTGTGTCTGATGTGGTTTTATAAACCATCAATTATAGTTACAGCAAACCAAATTCTTTTTACACCCAGAACTCAGTTTCTTCTAGATACAAGGTTCTGATAAACACACACCATTCCATCATCATACATCACATTCCATCCACTTATATTCATCCATCACACTCGTCTTATTTAACTTGTCTTGTTTATATTTGTTTAGAAAATAAATGTCTTACCTTTTATAAACCTGACTTTGTCTGAATTAATACGAAGTGTGTTCGATAACTGAAAAAGCAAAGAATCCTAGAATTTTCTGATTAAACATTCAAAGACTAATAAGGTTGATATCCTATATTTATATAGAATATCACAGCTTATTGCTCATAAGTAAAGGTAATATATTAAGCTTAAAAGCAACAATATTTACCCCTAAAACAATAGGATAGAATAGAATAGAATAGAATAGAATAGAAGAGACACCACAATGGGGAAATGCACTCATTACAGCAGCACATAAACTTAGTGAAGTTATGCAAACTTCTGCTCTTTCTGAAGGCTGAACTCAGACAATTATGTTTTGAAAAACAATCTGTGTATGAAAATGTAGCAGAAAAAAGGCAAAACACTGCTTTGAACACTGCATTGAATCTTGTTATTTTCTGTTAGACCCCCAAAAAATGAAAAGTGTATTTCTGCTTTTAAACTTTATGCCTTCAAGATAACAGTTCTTTCTGACGGTAAATATTTCATAATATAACAGGGCTGCTCGATTATGACAAAAATGGAAAGCTTGATTATTTAAGATGATCTTTAATTAATGTTGACAAAACAAATACTGAAAACAGATGACACAGTGCAAGCATTTGTAATGTAAAAATAGAAACACATACTGTAAACTTCTATGTTGTAGTGGACTTCTACAGCCTGCTGCACACTAATGATTTAGTCCTGTCCAGCAGTGCCGCAAGAGAGTGTGTACAGCAGCACGGCGCGTCGTGTTGCTCAGATAGATTAACTATTCATCAGCCTGAGAAATTGGAGGTCCGGGGTGAGAGCACATGTAGACAGCCTCACGCTCATCGCGTGAGAATTTGCAGCTCTGACAAAATAAAAATCCACCTTGGATATGGCTTGCTGTATCTGAATTTTTTTTGCTTGTAAAACAGCTGGTTCTGTTAGCGAGTGAGATCCACAAAGAAAGGTTTATGATTGGTCAGTCGATGTAACGCAATCATGCTGTGCATGTGCACATCATTCCTTTTCCTAATGTCAGGAAGGATAGTTCGGCGCACAGGCTGGGTGTTTTGCTAACCTGCAGGGAATATTGACAAAGTTATACAGTAAGTAGATAAGGGTTAACAGTTAGGTTGTTTGTTAGGTGCTTAAGGAAAAAAGGCAAGAAGGTGGTCTGAAAAGTTGTTAGAAATAGCAAAATATTTGGCAATACTACGTGGGAGGTGCGCTCAATTTGCAATTCAGAGACGCATGAGGGTGAACTGAGGGGGAAAAATAATCGGCTAATTTTGTGTTAATAATAGTTCAAAGCCCAGACCATAATTGTTATTTAAATTTCATTAATCAAGCAGCCCCATAATATAAACAGTATAAGGATGGGAAATTGAAGCTCTTATTTTGACGAGCCACACAGTATTTCTGATGAGTTTATGTAAAGAGGAAAAAATGTCATGTGTTTTCCAACTCAACCAATTACAATGTATCTTACCTCCAAATGAGGCATCAAAGCCCAGTTCCTCTATGGTTGTTCTCAGATGTTCTGGTTTCATCAGACTTGGGTCAAAGGTTATTGTTCCCTTGGCTTCCTCCAGTGACACCGTTACAAACTTCACTCCAGTTATCTGAGAAACCCTGCTTTCTATGGACCGCACACATGAAATACAAGTCATCCCTCCAATCCAAATTGTTACAGTATGAATAGGAATATCTAACAAGTCCTTCTGCCAGTAGACCAAACCTCCACCAGACTGGACCTCAGGCATTAAAGTTGCCTCAAACCCCAGGTCCTGAATCTTGTTCCTCAGCCCTTGTTGAGTGATCAGAACCGGATGATATACAATCACAGCTCTACTATCCTGAAGAGACACTTGGATGTGCAAAACCCCTGATAAACCACCGATGGATCCCTTAATGGACTGAACACAGGACTGGCAGCGCATACCATCCACCTTGATCTGAACTGCTGCTTCCATAATGCATCCAAGAGTCTGCAGCTGCAGAGCGATCTCTTCAGTGCTGGTGATTGATGCATCATAGTCCACCTGCAATAAATTGTCCGGTCCAGACAAGATGACAGCGAGGACTCCGTTCAGTTGGCTGGCTGTGGTTTCCACGACTCGGTGCTCTAAAGTAAGTCCCAGCAATTTAAAAGTGGCTCTACATCCAGGTTTAGGTGGTGAGTGGAGTTCCCTCTGGCTATCATACTCGTAGGCCAAGTTATCGAAGCCTTTAAGGTCAGGACTGTTCCTCTGGAGGGAAGAGAACAAAGAGCATCAGTTCAAAAGCTTTACTTCTGTAGATTCATTATTACTAAACACAACAACAATATAATAATAATAATAATTATTATTAGTAGTAGTAGTAGTAGTAGTAGTAGTAGTACTAGTAGTAGTATTAGTATTACAGTTTTTCTCAATTGCTAAAGCACAATTCCTGAAACCTTGCTCTCTTTTCTCAAAGCATTAAACACAAAACCTCAGCTTCTAGCACGATTTACAAAACATCTCATTCCTCTTGCAAAATCAAACTTTCGCCTCAAAACAGTTTTAGCTGTGCTCAAAATCAAACACTGCTCTCAAATCATAAACACATTGCTCAAAATTACATACACCATCAAGCAGTCAGTAATCAATACACCAAAAAATAGGAGGCACAATGTTCAGGGCCATACAATTTGTTTATTGTACCATATACAGCCTGCAGTCCATTGTGCTACAGTGTTCAATGACAGTGAAAAAAATACATAAAATGAAAAACATCCAAGGACTAAACATGTTATCAATGGGCCTCTTCTTGTCTGGGCTGGGTCAGGCTACAGCACTTCATCTGCATCACATGCAATATTTTCCCTCCTGAGGCTCAAATTGGGTTGCACTCTAAGTCCTGCTTCCCTCATTGTCAGCCCATGGACAACAACATGGTCTATGATTGTTGTGACTTATTTGTCATTTAAGTATTTAGTTACTAAAGAAATACAGTCCTGTTGTTAGCACTGAAAATGTATTTGTGCAAGTATTTTATTTTGAAGGGAACCTTCAGGAAATGCACTTTTCTTCGCTGATTGTGTTGTACTTGACGAGAGAAAAAAGAGACGTTGAAAGGTTTAGATGTTGCTCAAATTCTGAAATGAGCATTAAATGTTCAAGATAAAGACGCTGTCGTCCGTCATCATTTTAGAAGCCTTTATTCCACTTCAGTTTTTGGTGCCGAAAATCCGGGAAGTGTAAGACTACACTAAATTTCAGAATTGAGTGAAGTGCTAACTGCTATTGCTAGCAGCCAAGATGACGGACCGGCTCGAGCGGATGAAGAAGAAACGTGCTACAATACGGACCTCGGTGACAAAGCTGTTATCCCGCCTGGAGAGTGAGGTGGGCAAGGAGACACCAGATAATGACAAGCTACGTGAGTTTCTGACACTTTTGATCTCCAAGGAGGAAAGTTTAATAGATTTGGGTAAGGGCATAGAAGAGGAGACACCTACAGATGCACTGGAGAAGGAGATTTCAAACACACAGGATTATATGGACCGCCTTCTGACATGGAAGTTTCGCGCTACTGGAATAATTGAAAGGTCACGTGAGTCCACAAGAGCGCGAGTCAGTGATGCGGGTTCTGGTTCATTTGCATCACAGTCAAGACAAACTGTTAAACTTCCCAAGTTACTGATAACCCAGTACAATGGTGAAATAAGTCAGTGGCAACAATTTTGGTCTCAGTACGAAGTAGCTATTCACAAAAATGATGGATTATGTAAAACAGACAAGTTCACATACTTGAGATCCTACCTAACTGGAGCAGCTGCACGGACTATTGCAGGACTCACCATGACAGATGACAACTATGATGATGCAACTGAATTACTCCAGAGTCGATTTGGGAGAAAGGACATTGTGATAAGTGCTCATATGTCCAAATTATTAAACCTGACACCAGTAAAGAAATCATCTGATGTGGCATCTTTGAGACACCTGTATGATGAGTGTGAGATTCAGATTCGTAGCTTGGAATCCTTGGGGGTGCACAGTGACACCTATGGCTGCCTGCTATGTCCAGTGCTGCTGCAGCTCATCCCAGAGGATATAGCCTTAGCCTACACCAGGCGATCAGACTCCAACAGCGAATGGAAGGTTCCAGAGCTTATCGAGTTTCTGCAGAATGAGGTGCAAAGCAGAGAAAGGGCGCTACAACTAACCAGACCTGGACATGATGTTAAGGATGCTACCCCAAAGCAGGGCGGTAAACCATTCTATGGTTCTGATGTTAAACCTAGAAGGTGGAGCACCCCATCAGCTACTGCCTTGCACACAGCAAACACTGTGCCCCAGACCTGCGTGTTTTGTGACAGCAGTAACCACAAGCCTGAAAATTGCCCAGAACATTCAGTAAGTGCACGTAAAGAAAAGCTGAGAAAACTTGGAAGATGTTATGTGTGTTTAGGTCCAAAACACATAGCAAAGTTTTGCAGAACAAAAATTTCATGTGGTTTATGTAGACGTAGACACCATCAGTCAGTGTGTGAGCAATCTGAAGTGAAGCCTGAGGTCGACAACGGCAATAATAGTGTACATACAGATGCTGTGTTATCTTCAGTAACAAGTCCTGCGCAATCAAGGATAAAAACTCAGAACACCGTACTGCTTCAGACCGTCAAAGCATGGGCAGCGGGCCCCAAAGACCGAAAAATATCTCGCTGTCTTTTGGATGGAGGCAGCCAGCGAAGCTTCATTCACAAGGATGTTGCTAGGGCCCTTGGACTACCAGTTATCAGACAAGAGATGCTAACTCTCCATGTTTTTGGATCCACTACTCCTGTGACAGAGAAGCGCAACATTGTGAGAGTTGAGCTGGAGAACATGTGGGACAGTCAGCAAAAATTGGAGATTGAAGCAATAGAGACCCCCCAGGTATGCGCAGCTGTGATTAAAGTTCCAAGTGGACCGATTCAAGCAGAGCTGAAAAGAAGGGAGCTGCAGCTCGCAGACTGTCCACTAGAAGGTGCTAATGATGCAGAGCTGCAAGTTTCAATAGGAGCTGACTGCTACTGGCAAGCTGTTTCTGGTAATGTTCAAAGAGTCACAAAGACATTAGTAGCTGTTGAAAGCATTTTTGGATGGACTCTCCAGGGTCCAGTGATGAGCTCCAGTGTAACAGATACCACTTGTATGCACATTAACTTATCTGAAGACACTCAGATTTCAAACCAACTTCATGCATTCTGGGAAGTGGAGTCATTGGGCATAGTTAAAGACACAGCAGAGAGCACAGAAAACTTAGAGGTTTTGCAAAGTTTCGAGCAGACAACAACCTTCAAAAATGGACGCTACCAAGTTGAGTTACCGTGGCGACCTGACAGAACTCAACTCTCAGACAACTTAAAGGTGGCCAAAAGACGTCTTGAAAGCCTAAAGAAAAAACTGAGAATTGATGCCGCTTTGTATACCAGTTACAACGATGTGATACAAGACTACCTGCAGCAAGGGATTTGTGAGGATCTGTCAGAGGACACATGGTCGACAGGCAACTCAGTCAAATATTACATGCCACACCATGCTGTTGTGCGAGAAGACAAGGCAACATCCAAACTCAGAGTGGTTTTTGATGCATCATCACATGAGGAAAATTCCCCATCCCTAAATGACTGTCTGTACACTGGGCCCAATTTGAACCCAAATCTGCTGGATGTGCTGATTAAATTCAGATTGCATGAGATAGCCTTTACTGCAGACATCACAAAGGCTTTTTTGCAGATATCCCTGACGGATAAAGACAAGGATGCAGTTCGATTCCTGTGGCTCCATGGACCCCCAACCAAAGACTGCGAGGATGAGGTGCATATTCTTAGAATGAACAGAGTTGTATTTGGAGTGTCTCCTAGCCCATTCCTGCTTGCCGCCACAATCCGAAAGCATCTCAAACAATATGAAACCAAGCAGACAAAAACAGTGCAGACACTGAGAGACTCCTTATACGTTGATGACTTTATTGCCAGTGTATCAAATGTGCAAGAAGCCCATTGTGTGACAACAGAAGCAAAAGACATTCTGTCCCAAGCCGGGATGAACTTGTGCAAGTGGGTTACAAACTCCCCTGAGCTCAGAGCCTTGTGGAAGGAGAATGGACTAGAGCATGGTGTGGAAAGTGAGTTAAGTGGAAATGTACTCAAGGTCCTAGGACTAGTCTGGAGATCTGGAACTGATGACTTTGTGTTTGATCAAAGAGGACTTATGGACATTGTAAAGGGGAAGGAAAACACAAAACGAGGTGTTTTGCAGACGTCATCTCGCATATTTGACCCCATTGGCTTTCTCACACCATTTACCATCAGAGCCAAGTGCCTTTTCCAAGAGATGTGGGAAAGTGGGCTTAAATGGGATGAACAACTACCCCCTAAGTTAAAGGAGAAATGGGAACAGTGGTGTGCTGAGTTACCACTGCTCCACCTAGTGGCCATTCCTAGGTGGCATCACATTGAGCATCCAGATTCACAGAACGTAAGCTTACAGGTTTACTGCGATGCAAGTGAAAAGGCTTACAGTGCTGTGGCCTATCTGAAAGGAAAAAACAGAGAAGGAGAGACCGTGACAAGTTTTGTTGCTTCCAAGTCACGAGTTGCACCATTAAAAAAAATGACTTTGCCTCGTTTAGAACTTATGGGTGCACTTATTGGAGCCAGATTGGGACACAGTCTTCTAAAGGCATTTGATCTGGAAAGAAATCAGCATCACATGTGGACGGACTCGATGATCACGCTTCACTGGATTCATAGCTCTGCTCAGCGGTGGAAACCATTCGTGGCCAACAGAGTGACTGAGATACAAGAGCTCACAAATCCAGAGCTGTGGTCCCATTGTATGGGCAAAACCAACCCTGCAGACCTACCGACAAGAGGCCAGCATGTCCAGAGCCTCATTGACAGTCAGCTGTGGTGGAGTGGACCTAAATCATTGCCAGCAGCTGATGAAAGAGAACAGGTGGATGAGAACTATGTGTCATCTGAGGTGAACTGTGAACTTAAAACTAAGCACCAGGTTGTAGTGCAACTGACACATGCTGAGCAGGTTGAACCACTGTTTGACATTGAAAAATACAGTAGACTTAGGACAGTGTTAAGAGTAACTGCATGGGTTAAAAGATTTGTGACAAACACACGATCCAGTCAGAAACTGAAAGGAGAGTTGACCGCGGAGGAGATCAGGGCTGCCGAAAGGTACTGGGTGAAGCAGACACAGGAGAGTAGCTTTAGCTCAGAAATCCTACAGTTACAGCTGAAACAGAATGTGAAGAGAGACTCTAAGATTAAGGATTTGAAACCATTTTTGGATGAAGATGGACTGATATGTGTTGGAGGGAGACTTCAGAACTCTGATCTTAGTTTCAGAGAGCAGCACCCCTGGGTGCTACCAAGCAGTCATAAATACTCTGAGCTATTGGTTCGTTCTTGTCATGAAAGGGTGATGCATTCTGGTGTTAGAGACACTTTAATCCAAGTGAGGGAGCAATACTGGATCTTGAGAGGGAGACAGTTTGTTAAACGCATTGTTTCTGGATGTTTTATTAGCAGGAAGCTAAAGGTTAAAGCGGCGCAGCAGATTACTGCTCCTTTACCTCAGGATAGAGTAACAGAATCAGCTGCATTTGAAGTTACTGGGGTGGATTTTGCGGGACCCTTGTATGTTAAAACTAAGAGTCAACCGACAAAGGCTTACATTGTATTGTTCACTTGTGCTGTAACAAGGGCAGTACACTTGGAGTTGGTATCAGATCAGACCACTGAAAACTTCTTGTTAGCCCTAAAAAGATTTATTGCTAGAAGAGGGCTATGTAGGATCATGTATTCTGACAATGCTAAAACATTTAAAAGGGCAGATAAGGACTTGAAGGAGATGTGGCAGGTGATTAAAGACTCAGAACTCACTAAGTTCTTTACCGAGAAAGGAATCACCTGGAAGTTCATTGCTGAGCGGGCAGCTTGGTGGGGGGGCTTCTGGGAGAGGCTTGTGAGATCTGTAAAAACATGTTTGAAAAGAGTGCTGGGGAGGGCCTCATTGAACTTTGAGGAACTAACAACTGTGCTGACAGAGGTTGAAGCAGTGTTGAGCTCTAGACCATTGTCTTATGTATATAATGATGTTCTAGAACCTCAGCCACTAACCCCTTCTCATTTCCTGGTTGGAAACCGACTAACTTCTCTACCACCAAAGAATCTGTCTTCCCAGCCTCACACCCCCATTGTCAACAAAGAGGAGCTGGGACGACCGCCAGAGACTTTTGAATGGCTTTTGGAAGCGCTGGCGCAGAGACTATTTGATGGACTTAAGATCAGCCCACACATCTGAGACCACAACACCCACTACAGTAAAGGTGGGAGATGTTGTTCTAATAGGAGAGGACAACACACCCAGACAGACCTGGAAAATGGGTAGAATAACAGAGGTTTTTCCAGGCAGAGATGGACTGATTCGTTCCTGTAAGGTTTGCAGTTCTACAGGTACCATTTTGAGAAGACCTGTACAGTTACTATATCCCTTAGAGGTATGTTAAGGACGGCTAACTGTTGATGAACATCTGTTCATCGGGCGGGAGTGTGTTGTGACTTATTTGTCATTTAAGTATTTAGTTACTAAAGAAATACAGTCCTGTTGTTAGCACTGAAAATGTATTTGTGCAAGTATTTTATTTTGAAGGGAACCTTCAGGAAACGCACTTTTCTTCGCTGATTGTGTTGTACTTGACGAGAGGAAAAAGAGACGTTGAAAGGTTTGGATGTTGCTCAAATTCTGAAATGAGCATTAAATGTTCAAGATAAAGACGCTGTCGTCCGTCATCATTTTAGAAGCCTTTATTCCACTTCAATGATTGTTGTTCAAATTTCATTGGATGTTTCTACTCTTTATCTTGCTCTTCCTCTTCATCCTCCTCTTTCTCTTTCTCGCCCTCCTCCTCATCCCCCACCTCGCATACACACCCACCCTTGACCTCTCACATGAATTCTTCTATCCATTGTCACACGTTCTCATTCCCACCTTCAACAACCTGTTTGCTCTCTGAACTTGCTTTTATTGGTTGTCACATCATTTGAAACAAATGAAATCTATTTTGACTGATTGTGTTCAATCAATGACATTTGTGCTCTTGTTATGGGTAAATGTGTGCCACTTGTGTTTACCGTTATCAAGACCGGATTATAATATGGGCAAACTGGGCACAGGCCCAGGGGCCCACAGCCACAAGGGGGCCCACGCAAGCAGCAGTCTATTTTTTTGAACAGCAGTCTTAATGTTGGAGAAAAATGTTGATAAGTAATTAAAATTGCGCCCACATTTTCTAAGTTAACACATTTATTTTAACAACGGTAGTTTCTGCATCTTGCTTCAGCCCTCTCCCCCCTTCCCCTGCGCAGCCCCCGCAAACTCACTGATGCGCCTGCAGCCTCTCAGAGTTCTTTCTGCTCTAGTTTATTATCTTCCTGCATCTCCTCTCAGCCCTAAAGAAAAACTGCTACATGGCTTCATATATATTCACTTTATGAGTTACCTTTGACCTGCAGTTATAAAAGATCTACCTGACCGCAAAAATAGCTGAGTGTGCACCGCGCGCCGGCCGCACCGGTGAGGTGAAGTCACTGGAAGATGAAACAGGTTATCTGCTCCGCAGCAACAGCGCCGGCGCTCCGCACACCACGCACAGCGCGTAGGGCACCACGCCGGGGGAGGGGCATGAAACGCAAGCTTATGAAAAAATAATATATATATGATAAAGACAGATTTAAATTAGAAGATGTGCAAAACAAGTAAACAGCATGTTTACAGAGAGAAAACAATAGAAAAAGGAAAGGAGATGGACCTTGTCGCACTAACCCCCCCCCCCCCCCCCCCCCCCCCCGAGGAAGGAAGGACAAAGACACCGTCAAGATAAAGTAAGAAGTTTTATTTTTAAATAAGCGGCTGTTTGTGATAAATCATGAGTTAACTATGGACATGATTTATATCATTATTAAATAGCCTATGTGGCCTATAGGCTATGTAACTGAGATTTAATATGAAAATTTAGACAAACCTATTTTCAAATTAGGTATTTGCTCCATGTTGATATATTTCATAAACATTTACAGGCCAAGGGGAACATCAGCTGCTGACGGTATAATTTGAAGAAAAAAGTCCATTATGCTAACCTCCTCCCTTCATATTCAGAATTTTTAGTTGTGTATAAAATGTGTACATTGTGCCTCTCTAGTCCTTAATAAAGGTTAAATAGTTTTGAATTTAGTCATGTCACATGCCAGTGATTTATAAGCCAATATAAACCTATAAATAATCTATTGCAGTATTTTTTTACCATGGTTTAAAACTTTTATCTTATTATAGAATGAATATGACAAATTATCTTTTTGTGTTTGAATACAGGCTCAATGAACAAATACATTCAAGGAGGAGCTCAAGCCAAAAGTTCAGATCAGCCATCCACCAGCAGTTCAAGAGCTCAAGATCAGTTGTCAGCCATCACGTCTGAACCTTCTACAACATCACCCAGCCCTGACCAGGAATTACAAAGTAAAGCACACCTACAGACTGAGCACAGCCCACAGCCAGCACTTCTGGCAGAGAAAGTCCTGGATCTGAAAAAGCATCTTAAAATTACATTGGAGAAACACATGTGCCACAACCGGTGCTTGTGTTGTGTGGATCTGTTACATAGTTCTAAATAATAACAATATGGAGTTCCTGTGTTGAGTATGTTATATTATGTAAATATCAATCCTACTTTTTGGAAATAATAAGCAGTTTGTGCATACAAGAGAATTAAAGAGAATTTGAGGCGAAGTGCTTGCACAAGTGTTGTTGTTTTCTGCGAGGGGGGGGGGGGGGGCACCACGAAGCCTTTGTGCTTAGGGCACCAAAATAGCTAGCAACAGCCATGTGCAGCAATGAAATGCATCAGGCACAAATAAAAGACAGAAAACATAAAAGGATATGAGCCGACATAAACAATCGCGTGTTGAATTTGTTTTTGAGGTGGCGACACTTTGAGAATGTTACTGTGACCGTTCTCAGGATGCATCTGTCAGGAGCGCGTCAACCATCAGAGCTCTGCGCCTCTCAGCTCTAAATAATCCCAGCAGAGTCCACATGAATAATGTAATATAAATAGAACCATGATCGTTTACGGGCTAAAAAATAGTCTACAGTCCATCTTCCCTAATGTGTTTGTGGCCCTGCGGATTTTTCTAACTCTACCTGCACTTCTTATATGTACCTCTCACCGTAGGACTCTTTCATAATGGTACTGCACCATCAGCTACATCAGCCCAGACAAGAGCAGAGAAAATAGAGACAGAATAGCGGATAATTCTTTCTGGAGGTGGATGGAAATTACATTTTACAGCAGCCTGATACTCATTTAAATACATAAACCATCACCTGGCTTCTAGTCCACGCTATCACTATTATTTTAACTGGTGCGTTTGTGTGTGTGTGTGTGTGTGTGTGTGTGTGTGTGTGTGTGTGTGTGTGTGTGTGTGTGTGTGTGTGTGTGTGTGTGTGTGTGTGTGTGTGTGTGTGTGTGTGTGTGTGTGTTTACACTTCAAACACTAACCAACCAGACCATCGTGTCCAGTAACATATTAATGTTACAATTAAACAGTTTCACTTCATGTAGGCTAGGAACATTTCACCTGCCGTGTTCCCACCGCTTCTGCTCCACATAAACTTTGTGCGTGATCAAATGTCTCTACAGGTGCTTTCTGAGCTGAAGAGGCTATTCTGCCTCAGACAGATTGGATATGTCTTGCGTCTCCATATTGGAGAAGGGAACAAGCGCTATTCAGCCAGTTTCATAACCAGAAAACATTTTTCCAAGTAACACATCCCTCAGAGAGACAGGGTTTCCAGACCGCTTCAGTGGATGGAAATCTTACCGCATCGCTGTGGTTCTGCACTGCGCTCCGAACCCCTCTATAGATTTTCAGCTCACTGTCCACCGTGTGCGCTGCGAGCTGCGCTGAGCACAGTGTCCAGTATAAAGCTCTGATGTTCTGATGGGAATCTTTTCTTGATTGATTTAGTTACCTCCGCGATGTGCGTAACGATTAAAATGTCAGCTCATCCATGTGCATCAGTGTGCGTCGGGGTAATTCTTTCAAAACAACCAACATCCTTGAGTTTATCCGTCAAAATAAACAGTCAAATGGAAATATCTGTAACCTGCCATTTAACTGATTTGCCTTCCTGTGAAGATTGTTGCAAAGAGAAACAATTAATCTTGATTAACCCCAGAGCCATGCGCACTGCATTGTACTGACTGTAAATGAGGGGAAAAACGATTTAATCGGATCCTTTTCTTACCTTTTCAACATGGTTTAATGTAAAGTTTCATTCAGTACAAACTTTAGTGGCACCAATCTAACGAGACAGAGCCTGGATTTGTATTCTGAACAGTTTGAACATGTTTAAAACGGAGACATGTGTGACGCGTCTTAAGTTCGCAACTGCTCCGCTATTATGGAAATTAAACTAACAAGATGAATAACATCATCAATAACATCAGGGTCAGATATTAATGAAGTAACTAGAGTGATAAATGATGAACTGATAAAAGTTAACAACTGGTTTGACATAAACAGACTTTCACTGAATCTTAATAAAAAAAATTTATATTGTTTAATGACAGAGACAACAAAGATGTAACAATAAAAATAAATGGAATGGACATTCAAAGGGTGAAAGAAACAAAATTTTTAGGAGTCATGTTTGATGAAGCGATCACCTGGAAGTCACACATAGGTTATATCAGAGGTAAAATTGCCAAAGCCATTGCAGTACCACATAAAGTTAAGTTTTTACTGAATAGTTCTGGATTGCTGACATTGTATAACTCACTAATTGTTCCATACTTGACTTACTGTGTAGAAATATGGGGATCCACATGTAAAACTCATACACAACCACTGTTTATTCTACAGAAAAGAGCATTGAGAATCATTATTAACAATCACTATAGAAATCCATCCAATCCGTTATTGATCAAATATAAACTACTGAAATTTTATGATCTAGTGAATATGAAAATATTGCGAACAATGTATAAAGCTAAAACCAATATATTACCCACCAACATTCAGAAAATGTTTGAAAAAAAGAGTCAGTAATTATTTTTTAAAGGAACTGAAGTATTTAAAAAAAACAAAATTTTGAACCAGAATGAAGGAAATGACTATCTCTGTAAATAGCGTGAGAATATGGAACAACCTTACCAAAGACATAAAAAAGAATCAGTCACTAAATATATTTAAAAAATGTATCAAATCGAGTGTATTACAGAACTACAATAACCTAAATTCAGTTGGTGTCTGATTAGGTCTGTAAGTTAAAAGAATATAAAATGAATCTGTTTCATTTTGTTTTGTTGTTTATTGAGAATTGTATGGAAGCATTATTAAAAAGTTTGGTTTGTAAATAAGGGCAGATAATATAAGATATTTCTTCCTTCTGCCCCTTTTCATTCAAATTGTTTGGTGTTCATGTTTATGTATGTTTTTGTTTTTTTAACACTTTGAATGAAACAAATGAAGAGAAAAAAAACATTAAATTATTTTAGGCACAGACAACATCCCCCACACTTGCAAAGCTTGCAACGCACCTGCTACCAGTTACAAATTGTGAAGGGGAATGATCTTCACAAATGGCAAGAATAAAAAATGAACGGAGAACAACACAAACTCAACAGCGCCTCAGTGCACTGTCACTGAGGGCAATTGAATCTCAGCTTGTCAGGAATATGGACTTTGATGACATTGTAAATGAATTTACTAATAGAAAGGCCAGAAAGCAGTTTTTCTGAAGGCAAGAGAGGAGACCAACAAGAGGAAACATAAAGAAGAGGAAGGAACCAAGAGTAAAAAGGAGGAAGGAGACAGGAGTCAAGACGAGGAAGGAAACAGGAGACAAGATGAGGAAGGAGACAGGAGACAAGAGGAGGAAGGAAACAGGAGACAAGAGGCGGAAAGAGACAGGAGACAAGAGGAGGAAGGAAACAGGTGTTG